TTGCCGGGCGCTTCCCTTCCGCCGCGTCGCTGTGGGCGTGGCCACTACGCTAAAAAGGTGTGCGTTTTTGCCCGCCCCCCCTGGTGCAGGAAGCATAGGCGGCGGAGCGAGGCTCGGAGGGCAGCGTTTGAAGCCTCGCCCTCGCTGCCAGGCTGCGCCGGAGCTGCACCCAGCGCCTCCCTGCCCCTCTGCGCCTTCCGTCCGCGGTGGCCCGAGCTGCGCGGGCAGGCGGGTGCGGAGCTCTCCCCTGCCAAGGGCCCAGGCTTCCGACGGCCCGACTTGTTGTCGGGTCTCCCGCCCCTGCGACGGCTCGAGATTTTTCGAGTCGCCGGCCGCCAGAGGTCGGAGTTCTGGGGAGGGGGGGAGGTGGTGGGCAGGTGTTTCCGTGTCTTGTGCAATGCGGGCCTCCAGTGGCTTTTGGGGAGACTTTGGGGACTTCCCGAGGACTTTCACTTCTTCGGGGCCGGCTTTTCATCCTGAGAGTTTGTCAGCGTCCGGGGTTGAGAAAACGGCCCCCAGATGCCGAAAATAGCGCAACATGGTTACGCCGCGATGCTGTCCAATCGCCAGGAGGTTTGGAAGGCGGGAGTCGGCTTGGGCCGCTCTTGTGTACAATTTTTTGTTGCCACCGCAGCGAGCCCCTGGTTTCCCAGCCGGTGGTGGGCTGAGGGTGCTCGTGCGGTCCGCCGCCTGCGCGACATCCCCTCCTGCAGTCGCAGTTCCTCCGCAGATCCAGCCAGGCGAGTTCGTCCTCATCCTGCTGCTCTTTCCTCATCCATCATGCTTCATGCTACTCCTCCCTCCACCCTCCTTGTCCTCCTGCCTCATCATTCCTCGCTCCTCCATGATCCTGCTACTGATTTCCCGCCTCCTCCATCCCTGCTCCTTCACCGTCCCTCTTTCTCCGCCATGCATTTTCCTCCACCCTCCGAAACAAAGAAGCGGAGGGGCAGGAGGGAGGAGGTATGAAGAATGAGGAGCACGATGAGGACGACGAGGAGCAGGAAAAGGCAAATGAGGACGATGATAGAGAAGAGTGGGAGGCCCCGAGTCGCTTGTCCAGGCCCGCCCCCCCTGCCATCCTTCCTCTGCCCCCCCCATCCTCCCTCCCTCCCTCCCGCTCCCCCTCCACAAGCCTCCGAAGGCCTCCCGAACAGCTGCGCAAGACCTCCGAAGACCCCCGTCGGGGCGTCGCGAGCGGGGGGCCGCATTCCGAGAAGGCGGGCTGTAGAAACGGCTCGGATCCCTTCCAAGAAGCCCCCGGCCTGGGAAGGCCGCCCCCTCGCCCTGCATCACTGTCTGGCCGAAAAAACCCGCGAAGACCTGACCATGCGTCCGCCGCATCCATTGTCCCGCTCGGTTCTGGGCCCATCCTGGCGCTGACGGCGGCGGCGGCCCCCCCAGGCGGCGGCGCCCAACTACATCCCGAATTGGGGGGGCGCCGGCCTAAGGCTGTTCCCGACCGCCCCGTCATCGCTGCCGCTGCTGTTGTTGTCGTCGTCGGCACCTGAGTCCTATCCCTTCGTCGTCTTGGTTGTCTTCGTCGTCGTCGTCCTCCTCCTCCCCCTTTTCGGGAGGGCGGGAGGAAAACGGGCCGAGGGAGAAAAACAGAACAGCAGGAGCAGGCTGAGGAGCAGGCTGAGGAGCAAGCTGAAGAGCAGGCTGAAAAGCAGAAGGAGCAAGAGGAGGCGGAGGATGAGGAAGCGGAGGAGGAGGAGGAGGAGTTGAAGGGGAGGTGGTGAAGAGGAGCGCAAATGGGGAGGAGGAGCTGGGAAGGCAGGAGGAAGGAGCTGGATGAGGAGGCGGAACAGGAAGATAAATGGGACAAGCAGGTGGATGAGGAGGAGGAGGAGGAAGACGGTACATGAACGAGCTTCGAGGAGACGCTCTACGACATCTACTACCAGCAAAGCGACAAGAGGTGCGAATGTCAGTTGGACGAAGATTACGGGATACAATCAAGTTCACCGACAACGGCGACACCACAATTCATCAGCACCATGACCGGAAACCACCACAACGTCACCCTGCGTTAAGATTTGTACCCATGTATCAATTACCTAGCATATGCACTTCATACATCAGGCGCATCCGCACTACACCCACCAGGGGCTACTTGCACCATCGAAGAACAAAAAAGACATCATTCCACCCTCCACACATCAACGACCAGAATACGTTGAGCTACAAGACCCACCTGACTACGAGTGTGACAGACTAAACCAATGGACTGGCACAGCACGTGTCGAACCCGACCACCATCACGGTCCCACACTTCCGACATTTTATGAAATGACCGCGCCAGCGTCGGACAACCCCACGTGGCCACGCACACTCTACCACCTCTTTCCCAAACCCATCCAGATCTTATGCCCCAACGAATACACCACACACAACATGCGCAACCCCAATGTCCTTCGCCCACAGTCCACGCTGGAAATACCCCACACTGATGGACCACACTTCACATACCGACCACCGAAGCACATAATAACCAAGATCGGATCCATAATCCTTACCGACATCCCAGCTGGCCATCCATATCGCGTATTCGTACCAGGACAGTTCGCCTAACTTCATGACATTGAGAAGCGACACTACGAACACGTGGACAAATAATCACACAGGTGTTCAGAGCACAGAGATGACGCCACCAAAGCAACGAACACCCAACCTGACCTTCCAGAACAAAAAAACAGAGAAGCAAGACAAAGCAAGACCCGACGCCAGCTACGAGTACACGCCACATCCACCAGCATACATACCACCGCCTCCAACACAATCAGCACCACCACAAGCACACCCCACGCCTCCCCCCAACCCATGCGCAAACATACCCGAATTCATATGCGACACAATTTACTCCGATGCCAGCGGAGGCAACAACAACCCATGGGCCAAGATGAACGGAGCGTCAGGCACACACGCTTTCTACCTTACCTCACTACAGCCACACACGTGTCACGACATGCGTTGCCCAAGCGGATGGACAGCATATTGCCACCATTCCAGCGACACCGACATCGACGGCTACGACGACGACAGGTGGTACTACGCGGTCAACCACCATACACAGACCAATACCTACTCGTACACATTCACCAACGACGATGTACTTCTGCCCGGGTGGAGTAGGTACGTTGGCAAGTTCAACAACGGGCTCTACGCGCACCAAGACGGCGCCGAATACATGCCACGCACCCCCATCACGACCCCGTGTAAGAGCAATACCACCTTTGACTTCCCGATTACCGCTTACGACGAAGACCGCATATCTTGAACTGAAAAACACCATCCATGTTGACACCTTCTCACCACTGCCTAAGCCTCCCAAGCGTCTGACCTCGTCACGTCACGTCAACGACATGGACGCGCTTGCGGGCCACAGTCGCACCAGCGTTGCATTCCGACTTGCCGCGGCTACCACCAACCAGCGTTTCCGAGCATTAGCGACAGGCGGACGAGCGCCATTAAGCCAAACCGAGATCGCAGCCATGCGAGAAACAGCACAGCGGCTCAACACATGCCACAGCGACGACAACAAGATGAACTACGACTGGGCAGTCAACGTATGGTACAGCCGCACTATGTCAAAGAGTCTGCAACCCGACGACCGACTCCAGCAGTGCCAGGCCCACCCCGCCGATTAACACCTGAAACGCAAGCGAAGAGGATGCGCGGGCAACTGCTAATGGGACGGGCGACCGACCAGCAGCACCAACAGTGCTACCACCAACCACGCGCACCCCACCTGCCAACAACAACCACGCACCTACGTCATCCCCGCTACCAACTACGACGAACTTTCCAACAGCCGCGGACGAGACCGTCGACAGACCCGCGGACCCGTCCACGCGACCGACGGCCACGCCTACACCAGCCCAGAAGCCATCATCACTTCTTTCCACATACTTCGTCGAACAGCAATCACCCACCTTCCCCCCACTACCAACCATGACGAACGCCAACGGCCACAGACGAGACCGCAGACGGACCCGCAGAACCGCCCGCACCACCGACGACCAAGCGCACACCGCCAGCCAAACAAACACAACCATTACCTTCCACACCCGTCGTCAAAAAGCCACCCCCGCTACCGCAGACCATCCTCACTGCCGCTGGCGGCTCCGTCGTAGACGGGCCAGCAACGCCGCGCACGAAGGCCACCGCAACGCGTTCACCTACAACAAGAGTCGCGATACCCATGCGCCCAGCACCACCAGTGCTCCAAATGCAAATCATCTGCCCGCCCTGCGAAGAGGTGCTGGTACAGCAATGGCTGCAGGGAGTGCCAGTGCGTCGAGTTGCGCCACAAACATGCGCTGCCATCCAGGCCCGCCCCCCAACCCGCGCACGCCGTGACTCTTCCATGCGCGACATCTCGCGCATCACAAAGTCACCGACAACCGCAGAGCCATCCGCGTTCGCAGCAAGGGAGACCCGCGCATCCACGCCTACGTCGGCACGATCCACTTACTCCAAGCACGTAACGAGCAGTGCCTCGCCAGCCTCCACGCGCGCAGCTAACGGCCAGAGTTGCCCCTCAAGGAACCGCCGCAAAGGGCAATGCCGCAGCTATGCAAGACATCCCAAACCCAAGTCGCAGGCCAACGACCGCGACAACAACGGCGCCGCATGAACGAGCCACAGCTTGCCACGCGCGCGCAGGAGGCGCCGCGCAGTACACCGCGACATCGGCCACGAGTACCGCCTGTGCTTCGACTATCGAAGAACATGGACTACGGATCCCCCTTCTTCCCTCGCAGTCGGCAGGCCAAGGGGCCAGCGACAGAGGACGCAGTAATCCCTGCGCCGCGGCTGCAAGATCTTGCCCGCGAGGGGGGGGGCCTCGCGCCTTGCCTCCTCAGGAGGTACTCTGCAGTTGCAAGAGCACCTGCTGCAGTCCGTATTACATGTTGCTCGGGCCTATTTCCAGGCCAGCCTCAACCATCCACTGGCTGGCGTACACCGCCCCACTTGCTTCCCTGCACCCGATGCTCTTTACTTTGGGATCCCCTGGTTTACAGGCGAGACCCCACCTTTCTACATCTCTCACCGCCATGCTACACTTCGCTTGACGGCGCCAGTCCGTATTGCCCGCCGCCGACAGTGCTACAGTCAGGGAAGGAGTTGGGGGATTGTTGGGGGGCGACAGGTGCGGTGATCGGGAGGGCCTCGCGTCAGCCGCAGCACTTCGGCGACAACCCGTTGTTTTATGTATCGCAGGGCACGTGCCCCTCGCGCCCTCCCATGGACGTCCGTCGCGCAGCTTTGTTTTGTTGTTATTGTTTCCTTTTTATTGTTATTGTTACTACTTTAATAATATGTTTGTATTGGCTGGTCGTTCTCTCTCTCTCTCTCTCTTTCTCTCCCGCGTCTCCATTGCCGCCGCGGCTTGGGGCGCGCCGCAAAACCGGGGGCAGCGCCCCAAAGGCTGCTACACATTGTTTTTGACATCACCATTCTATATTGCCTACTGC